AGTCCTTTTTGTATGAGGGTACTCTTAGGGTGAATTTAATGTTTATTTTCTGAGAATGTCATCGTCATCTCAAAGTGAAGGGAAGTATCACTACTTATTTTACCTGTTTGAGTATTCCAACTTGATGTTAGAGTGTCAGACTTAAAGTTAAGTTTTTGCTATTTGGAAGTCCAGTATGCTCGCGTTTGGTCGGTTTTAATTGGTACCACCAGAGCAATATGTACGCATTAGGTAGGTCTTCGAAAACTGCAACTGTCTCTTTGATGCCAAATTGGAGGGATAAAAGCTTAACCTTAGGTATTGGAAGGAGTGGACTGCAGAGGTGGGTGAGGCACTTACCATGTGGTTAAAGTACCCGAATGTGAGCCCGCAGTAGTCACGAACTGGCGTTTGGGCGAGAGAACGTAGCCTTGGGCGATACTCCGATCCAGTAGTCTCCGATAGTCCGTAGGCCTTCTGTATGCGTATGCGAAAGTTGCGACACTGATTCTTAATTTGTCGCATTCTCAATGGTCTACCGTGTTTTTTCCGAACTTCGTATGAATCAACTCATAATTGTCACTGTTTACGTTATCTATCCTAATTGGAATGAGTTAGGGCTGGGAATTTTGGACAATATATTTTAACCCAGAGACACCCACGATTATTTTCATTCGCCCAAACTCGCGCGCATGAGGCTGGTTCCACGAAGTGAAGGTGTGTTTGCCGGCTTCTTGAAGGTAATGGGTGTTTCTTGCAACTTTTGACGGAGCAGCTGTAGGGGAGGGACTAGGACTTACCCATACAACTAAACAAATTACCTTGCACTCTTAAGCTGAAATAATGCCTATCTTGTGACTAAATCTTAAACCTAATGACTACTGCAAGACTCGAGCGTGAGATAGGATGCCTCTAGTGCACTTGCGGAAAGAATGTTTTATTTCACGTCGACGGAATCGTTCCAAGATTTATCCGCGTTCCGCGCCCAACTCTCGCACAAAATGGGGCAAAATTGTCCCTAAAAGCAGTTTTTCTATCAAAATTTTGACTATGACAATAAACAAAATATGACTGCAGTCTTAAGCTTTATGATCATGTATTGTTGGAATTAGAAGTGGAAGTTTGGAAAGAAATCTCGGATTTCAAAGGGATGGTGTTTGAAAACTCTAGAAGTTCAAATGTACAGTAGAATTTTTGATATAGTTCAAACTCCTCCTTGTGTCTTAAGACTGTGAAAAGACGTAGAGGTCCTGATCTGTAATTCACCTTAAGCTTAATAATGTAAAACACTAGTTAATACATCGCCGAGCGAAGTGCCATATCCTAAAATTTCATATAAATTAGCTAGTAACAAACATTTCTGCAAAATATGCTAAACATAGGCGTACGGAGCTTGCTTATAATTACTGATATGTTGAAAATGTTTTTAACCCGTCCAGGTCCTGGGAAGATATGTTATTCCACATTGCTGAGAGTATATATGGGTATATTAAGATTGCTAGAAACATTCCAAAAACAAAAGAAATAGTCGTGCGCCACCTTGTGGCGCACGCCGTCCGTTATGGGTTAAAAA